CCTGCCGGCCCCGGCGCGGACACGGTGGCTCTCTGGCTGGAGAGCCAGGCTCGCTTTCCCTGGTCAGTCCTGGGTTTGCCGGGGTTGCTTCGTGAGAGCAACCTTTGCTTCTGAAGGGCCTCGTCTGAACAGAGCCCCCCTTCAGCTTGCAGCTTGCCAGCATGGACTTGGGGTTTAACCTTTCCGGGATTGGGGAAAAAAAAAAAAAAATCACTCTTGCAAAGAAGAAAGAAATCCTCCTGAAACCGGACTCCTTCCTACGAGAAAGCCCAATACGTGACAAGTTGGGAGCCTCCACCTCCGATCTCCAGCACACATCTGGCTGCTCCGGACTTGGCAGAGGCTCACGTGTATCGCCATGCTTTTCCCAAGAGCGTAGAGAAATCGTACCTGACGTACGTGTAGTGTTGAAACCCAGAGGCTGTTTGGTTTGTTACCTGTATTTATTTCAATAAATTATTGGTGTCTTCCAAGGATGTGGTGACAGGCACGAGTGCTGCTGTCCCCTCCACAGGAGCACAGCTGAGGACTGCCTGTCCCATGTTTGAACTGGAAAATACCAACCAGCTTCTCTGGGGCTTACCAGTTACTGCCTGTCCTGTGTGCGCCCGCGCTCAGGCCAGGAGCTGCCAGAGGAAAGTCATTGGCATCTGTACTGACCATGTGAATGCAAAAATACACATGCCTTGCTCCCTCCGCCTGCAGTCCCGTGAGTAGAGGGGAGCGGTGGGAATGTACTGGGGCGGGGTGAGCACGCGGTGTTTGGGGCTGCGTCGGCTGGGCTCCCCGCTTCTCGCTGCTCGTTTTCTGGCTGGTGTGCCAAACTCTGCCACGCATCCCCCTCCCCTTCCTGCGCTCCACGGGAGCGAGCTCGTGCGGTGCCTGTGCTGGTGAAGGCCGCGGGCTCAGGCGGTCGCTCCTGGATTGGAGTTCAGCAGTGCGCTGCCGCTGTCCCCACACAGCCTGTCCCCAGCACCCGGCTATGATCCACAGCCGGAGCTCCGGCG